TACTATACACATGCAAAAATATGAAGAGAATTTTTAACTATTATTACATATGTTTATATATACAAGGGGTTTTCAAAAGTTCATGAAAATATATATTATGAAAAAAACTATGCATGGACTTCAAGATTTTTTGCACCAAAATAAAGTCAAACTTTAATTCTACTTTTCCATGAACTTATTGAAGTCCCCCCATAAATTATGTATGTGGAATGCATAATTTAATATACTTTACCCTCAATTCATGTGTCCTAGGTTTAAGTCTTGGGTGTAGTTATTATCTGCTATTATATGAACTTAAAATAATTCGCCTTTCTAAATCTCAATTTTTACCATCTGTGGAATGTATATAATAATTGTTATTTTATAAAATTCTGAGGGACAATCAGCATGATGCTAGAGGGCCCTTCACTGAAAAGTAAATAATTATTTAATACTGGCTATCACACACACACACACACAAATATAAAAACATGAAAATATCTACAACAAAAGCCCATAACTAGCTTAAAGGTAAATATTGTCAATTTTATGTCCCAGTAACTAAAGAACTCCTATAAAATACACGTGAAATTTCTCTCAAAGTCCACTATGAAATAAAGCATATATAAGAGAAGAATTTCAAAACATAACTCTGGTTTAGAAACTATGAATTCATTCCCAAGCTTTTAAAAATTAAAATAAGTTATTTCATAAACTGCAATCTGTTGTTCCTTTCAAGTAGCATTGCCGCTTTTAGCAGCTCAAAGCAAAAATCACAACCATTTATGGTTTTTACTGCTGGTTTTTAGCTGTGGGCTAAAATCAAACACCAAATGTTCGAGAAAACAAACCACCATGAGTGTGAGTCAGCAAAAACAGCAGTGCCAGAACACTGTTTTACACCATTTCAACGGTATCTTTCCCTTTTAATTTGGTTAACTCTCACCCATCCTTTAGAAGTTAGCCTAATTGTTGTTTTCTTTAGGGATTTTTCCTATGCTTCCTAAATTGTGTTGATTCTATTGCTGTTTTCCAAGAGCCTATCTCTTGGTAATAACTAAGTAAACATTTGTTAGTTACTCATTTCTAAAACAGTGTTTGGTTGACCCCCAGGTTTCCTCAAAGCTGCTGCTGGGGTTTGAGGGTACTGACTCTTAAATTTAACTAAAAGGGATGCAGGTTATATCACACTCATATATTTCAGTTTATTGTAGGATTTCATTTGCAAAAGTGTTCCATTGTTTTAACAGTTTGAAAACCATTTTCAAGAAAACCATTTACTCATTCAACAAACGCTGTACAGTTATTTTGCCCCAGAGAGCAATCTCAGGCATTGGGAATATAGCAACTAATGAGACAAAACCCTAGTCTTCAGGGAGGTTATATTATGGAGGGAATGCCTTGAATGACCTATTATGTTTACTTATTGTTGTAATGTTGATCTGGTAGTTCTTTAAGAATTTTGACTGGAAAAGATTTAAGATTTTTTTACAATCTCTTTATTTTACACATGAGGAAATGTAGGTCAAGAAAGGGAAAAAAGACTAATTTAAGATTACACTTAGTAAACTGGAATTAGAACATAGACCAGATTTTCAATCCACTCTATTCAAGTATTCTGCCTATAGTCAGTATCTCTCTATGATATCATTTTGTCATTTATTATTGCTAATTTGGAGGGCTCTGACAGGGAATTTGTAAATATTCAGAGAGATTAAACTCTCCTAATGATTAAGGGCAATGTAACTCACTACCCATATAATAGCAGTTATTTATTTGGAGTCAGCAGGTGGCATGGTGTCTAAGGTGCTAGACTCCTGGGGCCAGCAAGAGGCAGGTGGTTAAGGGTGTTAGACTCTCACGTGGCTGACTGTGGTTCAAGTTCCGGACCTGGCAGGTTGCTTTCTCACTCTCCTCTCTCTCTCACTCCGTCCCTCTGGTCAAATTAAAAAAAATAAAGTTAAATAAAGTAATTTTTTTTTTTTTTTTTTTGAGAGGTTTTTGCTATAGGGCGCATGCGCTTGCCAGACAGACAGAGAGAGACATAGAGACAAAAAGCGAGAAATCATCCCCCAGGGGGGCTGGTCATGCCACAATCCCTTCTCCTCCATTCTCCTCTCGGGATCTTGGGCACGCACGCACACGCGCCCCGCGTGAGTTTTAAGCCACCGGGTCCGGGCTGCGAACCGCGGTCGACTACGTGGGAGTCCAGCGACATAGCCATTACGCTAACTGCTGGTTCCCAATAAAGTAATTCTTTAAAAAAATAGATAATTACTAAAAATCTGAGGTATTCAATAAGCTGGTAGATAAAGTTGAGCCACAATGAGCTTTTGTGACTTCCTTTACCCTAGATGTTTTTGAAGTTTATTTTTATCGTAAATGTATAGACAGGAATATTAATACATTTAGAATGATATTTTCCCATCCACAATGCACATTCACATAAATGTTTAGTTGATTTACTTTTCTTGTAACTCCACATAATTTTACTTTTCATCTGGATTTGCGAATGAATTATAGAGAAGGTTTTCATTTTAACCAGCAGTTTTCATAAACTTCTTTAATCTTCAACTGTATTTATTTGCCTATCTTCCTAAGCATGAATGTTTAATTAAAATACTTACATACATACCTACACACAGACACAGAGATACAGATTAATATTTTTTGCTATTAAAAATTACACTGTGTTGTGTACTCTAGTAAAAAACAAAACAGAACAAAAGGTAGAAAATATTTAATCAGTCAAAGTTCCTGGGCAAGTTTTTATTTTAATTACAATGATCATTCTTTCAACAATGAATTACTTAGGAGAAATTAAATTAGTTTCCACATAAAGAATAGCAAGTAAGCAAGATATCTGTGTGTCCGACTTTCTGCATTAAAATTCTCAAGTCTATTTGATAGACCATTTTCTCATCCTGTAAACATTTTGTATATATATATATAGTCTAGTAACATAGCCAGTACACCAACTGCTGGTCCCCCAAAAATATATTTATTAACCCAGATGACTTGAGCTCATGAAGCATCCTGAACTACAGAAAGGAATAGGGGCTTGAGACTTTCGGGAGATAATGATAACACAAGTTATGGGAAAGTGAGAGAAAGAAATGTATGATGAATAAATTTTGTCTTGCTATGCAGATTAAAGAGACTCTCAGGCCCAACTCTGGTGGCACAAGGGGTAAGGTTCTGCTGAAGGGTGGCTAAGGCCACATGAGAGGTCTTGTTTAGTTTCCGAATCAACCTAAAACAGGCAGGTATGGTGGCATCATGGTCTTAGCTAACTGAGAGGCTGAGGTAGGAGGATTGTGACATGGCAAAGCCTTATCAAATATTCCTACTTCACTCTCTTGCTCTCAAATAAAGAAACACACACACACACACACACACACAAAGAGTCTTTTAGATAATAAAAGTCTGTGTAGCCCTCCTCTTGGTACACATACTTTTGCACATATACAT